GCTGTCTGACAAGGTCAGCTTAGTCACTTCAGGACCGCAGTCCTTACGACAGTGTAGACCTCATCGAGAAGTCTGCAGGGCTGTGGCAACAGCAGCGCATACCGTGTGTAATTCTTATGCTTAAAGACACGCCACTGGGTGTAAGTTCCTAGGTTACTAAAGCTATCTTCTGAAATGTTTTTGGGGTTCCCATCAATTGTTTTGCCATTGGCATAAATGAGTTGGTGGTCTCCTCTGCATCTTTGATGTGCCAGGAACCAGTGAAGCTCCGTTTCCTTGTCTCTGCCCTGGGACTCCTGGATGTCAGTGGAGCAGAGCAGAGGTCTGAGAACTCTTAGGCCGCTGCAAAAGTGTGCTGAAAAGGAGCACAGAAACAGTTTTGTCCACAATGTAAGCATCCAGCACAGCAAACCTAAGTCGTGATCTCATTAATTGATCTCTTGGGATCAATTTCTGACGTCTCAGTAGGACTGTGTCAAAGAGTAAGGATGACAAGATCTATTCTGTAGCTGCTGTATCTTAACGTTATTACTTAACAGCAGTTAATTAAATAGTCTTCAAAGCAACCAAATGGCATTTTCAGCAGATCGTAATATTATTAAGGCAGGTTAAATTTGAGACTTAAAAGCAAAAGCTGTGTATTATTTTAAATGTCCTACCCTATACTTCTCACAGCACCTTAGATTATTGACAGAAAACATACTTTAAAAATACACATTTCGCTGTACACACTGCTTAGGTTCAGTCCTACGAGGAACTGAATTCGACGGCAACTAACAAGTTCCTAAAGGTCACAAGATCTTGCTAATGGTGTTCCCCGTTGCACCAGCTGAAATAAAGGCCTAATCTTGTTCTTCATTTCATTAGTAAAAACATGGTAATTAAGGGTGCCTGTTCAGACTCTTTAATGACTTCAGAGGGAGTGAAATTTGACTTTATTTCCTTCAAATATGTTTCTCAAACCATTATACATACAAGCTGCAAAAACTGCAAGGAAACATTTGCAATCAGCAGTTGGTGTCAGATGCAAATGGTAATGGTCAGCTGCTGACTTCCATAAATTAACGACTTTCCTCAGCTTTTCCCCTTCCCTTCTCATTGGTGATCAGAATTTACCAACAAGGCACACTTAGTTTAACTTTACAACCCTAATAATAATACTGATGTTTTGATAGAGTGATTTTCTTTTAATTTTAGTGGCCTAACCCAAAGTTCTTTAAAGCGATTACAAAACGTTGATGCAGACGTTTTTAGGAATTAAATCTTAAATGCATTTCTGCACTTACAAATTATGGCAACGGTGTTCTAATCCATCAAACCCAGGGAGTAAACTCACTAGCGAGTGTGTCTACCTGGGACTGAGATTTGAGGCGTGGTTACGTGTACATGGTATGTCTGGACAGTACTTGATTACAGCTTTTAGATGTTAAAACCAGATGATAATAAAAATAATAGTAACAATGGTGATAATAGGTAATGATTGATAGAAATCAGAACCCGACTACAGACCAAAACTAAAGATCCTGAGTAGCAATTCTTGTTTTAACTATTCTGCCAGTATTCGTAATTTAAGGTGTTAACAGCAGTGTGTTGTAAGGACGTTTGTTTTGTTTGAAATGTTATTTTTAGCTCGCTAATATCCCTTTAAAAGGCTTCTATCCTCCCAAGTCTGCGTCTTGCTGTGTGCTGTTGACATATGAATGGTTTCCCAAAACGCCTCGAACACGTGTAAATGTTGTTGTTTGGGAAAAGAAAATATTCATAATCCCATTTTGATAACTCAGCGATGGATTATGAACTTTGGTTGTCTTTTTCTTTTTAAACTGTGTCTTAGAAAACACTGGCTCACCCCACCTCCTCCATAGAATTGGGACTTACTGGCAAATGTTGCTGTGACTTTATGGTAGACACTCCGATTATCGAGCCGTCCTTCCACGCGATGAGGGATGTTGCAGGAGAAACATAAAGTCCGACGGGAAGTTTATCGTGTCTTCCCAGACACCCAAATTTGCCAGGCCTCCCTGAAGTTGGTTTTTGCTGTAGCTCTTTACAAATCAAGCACCAACCCGAGTGGCTTTTTCCCTCGTGGTGGTGTGAGCTCTGAAGCCTCCAAGTGAACGCTGAGCGGCTGAACCTTCCAGGCCAGGGGAGGAAGGTTTTTTGCCTTTTCCTCTCCCTTTCCCAACCCCGTTCTCTGCGCTGGGTGGCTGCAGCCGGGGTGTGCGTTGGCCAGAGTCGGGGTAAAGAGGAAGGAAAGAGGTTCTGACTGGTGTGTGCAGTACCCTGTGTGTATCGCCTGCCACTCCGTGTGTATCACACACCCGTTCTGAGTTTCATCTCTCTGCTGGGTTTGCCCATGAGCACTTAGAGCTGGAAAGAGGTGGTCCCATTCTTGGCACATCTCAATTTGTCTGTGGCTTGAGTGGTTCTTCTTCCCCTTCCTCCCCTCCCTACAGCATCGTGCTTCTCTCACTGCAGGGCAATCAGAACAATCCCAGAGAGATGGCATTTCTCTCTTCTTTTTTTCTTGGTTACTTTCTTTCGTTTTGTTCGGGTTTTGGTTTGGTTTGGTTTTTTTATACTTTCCCTTTGTTTTACTTTTCTTTCCGTTGTTTTCCTTTGCTGACACGTGGTTGGTTAATATGATGAAGCCTGTTATGACACTGTTGTTCTTGCTGCTGCCGCTGCTGCTGTTGTTGATTATGCTGTGTTCCCAGCTAACTGCATGTCTTTTTTTTTGTTTTTTGTTTGTTTGTTCGTTTTCGTTTCTTTGCAAAATCCCTTCCTCCCCACTACCCCTTCACCTCCATCTCTTGTGTCTCCTCGTGACATGGTGCATCTTTGTGACTCGGATGGTTTTTATTCTGACTTTCCTTTCTCTGCTCGCCCGCTCTATGCGTATTTCACTGTTTTTGATGTGCATGGACACTCTGCGTCTGTCTCGTAGCCTATCAGAAAGTTCTTCATCCCCCCTCAGACCTCCGACCTCCCTTTCTCTCCCCGACCCCAAGTCTCCTTGGACCCTGATGCTTGTAGGAACGCCTCCAGGCCTGGACATGTACTCCAACCAAAGCCAGCACTTCAGCCCAACCCAAAGACGCAGACTTTGCCATCCAAGAGCAAATTGGCCGAAAAACCACTCCAGTCTACTAAATCCAACCCACTCCCCACCAGCAATACCAGCGCCCCTTCTTCCCAGAACAGCCCTGTGCAGAACGCTCAGGGCCGCTCGCCTGCCGCCGGCTTTAACCCGCAGCTGGCCGTTCCTAAAGTGCAGACCAACCCTATGTCTCCTGTTAGGTTGCTCCCTTCTAGTACTGACCCGAGCACCAAATCTATCCCCATCATACAGGTCACCCCTCACCCCTCTCCAAGGGGAAGTCCCCTCCCTACCCCCAAGGGGACACCTGTCCATACGCCAAAGGAGAGCCCAGCAGGCACACCCAACCCAACACCACCATCCAGCCCCAGCATTGGAGGAATGCCATGGAGGACACGGCTCAATTCCATCAAGAATAGTTTCCTGGGGTCTCCTCGCTTCCATCGCAGGAAATTGCAAGGTGAGTGCTCACCCAGACGTGCAGGGTGGTTCTGATTTGGGCGGGCGTTCGGCACCAAGTCGATACCTCCCTGTGGCTGTGCAGATTTCACGTGCTGAGGACTGAATATTGAGAATGAGAGTGGTGGCGCCAGCTGGCCCTAACCCAAAGCAGATGCAAGCAGGCCCCGCCATTCCGCTGCTCCAACGGCATCTCCTGAGCCCTCTTCACGCTCTGGCCGCACAGCTCTTACTGCCCCTGTTGTAGCTTTTAGAACACGTGAAAATTTTATCTTCAGCTTTTCCGCTCATTTTGTCATTGGACCTAGAGCTCTGCCATTTCCCCGATGGCTGTGCTCCGCTGCCCCTCCGTAGCCACAGGCTGAGCCTTCTGCTGGAAATGATAGCCAGGGGCAATAGGCTAAAACTGTCGTGCTGAGGCACAGCCTGTTTGATCTTGGTTCGTGGTTTCTTCACCTCCTTTGGCAATTGATATGAAAATCTCCTTAATAGAATCAGTGGTTTCATATCTGCTGGCCTATTTCGCTTTTCAGAATCTCCAGAGAGTTGAGATATGCAACATTTATTTCTTCAAGCTCCAGGTGGCTTTTTGCCTTCAGGCAAACGGCACCCAAAGTCACCTGCATTATCCTCAGATGTCAGCAGCAGCTCTCCCAACACCCAGGGGTTTTACAGGGTGCTGGGATGGGATCCCATGGGAAGGGAGGGTTACAGCCACAGAAGAGTTAAATTTTTGAACTGTGATGGTCAAGGAGATTGTCTCCGAGATGGTCAGACAACCACGGAGAATTGCAGCAGTGACTCAGCTGCAACCAGCTGGGCTTTGGAGCAATTGTAAAGTAAACCGGCACCATGTTTGGGTCTTAACCAGGAACCATGGAAGCCAGTGTGAGATTACACAATCCAAGAATCATTCAGGTTGGGAAAGACCTTTAAGAGTCCAACTGTTAACCCAGCGCCGCCAGGCCCACCGTTAGACTGTGTCACTAAGCAGCACATCTACACGTCTTTTAAATGCCTCCAGGGATGGTGGCTCCACCACTTCCTTAATGATTTAAGGAAGGGTAGGGTGAGCCTTACACTGCAGCATTTATACAACGATCTAGCGACATATGGCCAATGTTCAGATGTCAGAACTAGTCTGCAGAGGCAGTGGGCAAATGCAAGGGGACGTAATGCCAGAATTGTTTCACTGGTATGCGAGCAGAAAACAGAAGGTGTACTGAATCCTCTTTCTTTTTTCTCCCTCCCTCCCTTTGGCTGTGCGTGCATGGGCAGTACCTACACCAGAGGAGATGTCTAATTTAACCCCGGAATCATCCCCAGAGTAAGTAATTTGCCAGTGCGCTACATTTTTCCCACCACATACCAATGCCATTTCCTTGCCTGAGTGTCATAGGCTGACATAGTCCTGTCCTGGATCAGAATCTGACTGTAACCTGTTACAGTAGGACAGAGATGTGACATGGTTCTCCTGCTCAAGGATCCTGGATCAAATCTATACCTCAGTAATGGTAGTGGGGTCAACAGGTGATGAGTTTCCCAGTAACCCCTTCACTTGCTCACAGCTTGCTGATTTTACAAGGTTTGTAACGTGTTCCTTCTCTGTTCTTTCATTTGGTTGTCAAGTGGATCACTCTTGGGGAGTGGAGAGGATAATTGATGCCTTACACTGGCACTAAGTATGCGCTATAAAGTCTTCTTCTCAGTTCAGGAGAGTTTGCATCCTCAGGATAACATCGAGAAGCCTCTGCTAAGATAATTCAGAGGAGTCTTTAGCTGCGATAGTAAATGCAGTGTTAATTCTAGGCAGCAGCACCACGACATGCAGAAGCTGTTTCATATTCACCAGACTCATTCCTAAAAGTCAGTTGTACATTTCAGCCGTTTCACTGCACAAATGTGCGTCACTGCATGGCAGGTTTGGAAGTCCCTGCCAGAGAGTGCTGCTCCAAACGCTTCCTGATATATGCAACAGATGCCAAATTATTCCTTTTTATTTTCACAGCTTGTGTTTGTGCACCCAGTGCCCATAGACTTCCCCTGCCAACCAAGGCAATTTGGCCTCTTGTCAAGGAACTTGCGTGAAATATTCATGAGTCATAGATGGAAGTTTGGGGCCCGAAGTTTTGTAATTGGTGACAATGGTACTGCCTTAACAACTTTGCCCAGACCTGGCATTTACCATGTGTAGGATGGGCTCTCTGTATCTAATGCTGCAGAGTGGAGAGGGATAAAGACTTCAGGAGAGGGAGAAGTAGGGAATAGCAAAGGTTAGTAAAAGAAATCCAGGGAGAAGAATGTAATAAATAGTGTTTTCAACACTTTGGAGCATTTGCTAATAGAGAGGCATGAGAAAATTTCATTACACGCATGCATCCTTACCCAAGAAATGTGTGATGCTCTCATCTCAAATGTTGAGCTCGTTAAAGCAGAAGACCTTCAGAATTAAATCTCCTCTCCTCTCCTCTCCTCTCCTCTCCATTCCCGGAAGTTTTCCTGTTAGTTTATTACCTTCTCTGCTTCCCACTCACTCTTTAAAAGCTGGTATAGAGAAGTAGTGCCTGTCATTTGAGGCAGTTTGGATGCAAGTCAAAGCCCAAGGCCCTTTTTTTTCTTTTCCTGCATAATTGCCAAATTAATGAGTTCAATTGGGCTGCACCCTGCAGTAAACATAATAAAAGTCGTAAAAAATAATGAACTGCATTATATTTTAACGATAGATGTCTTGTTGCTCAGTGCCCACTTCCACACGTCTTATTTTTTCTGTATTCTTCCTTTCTGTAAGAAATAAGATACCCTTATCAAGAGCTGCATTGACCTCACGGGTTGAGCGATAAATGCCTGTCCTTGCTCTGGTGCAGCAGTGACTGCCGTTCATTTAACAGACCTGATGATTAGGTTATACCCTTTGACACCTCTGGTAATGCTATTCTTTCTCCCATGAAAAAGTCCTAGAAAATATGTTACAGATGACATTTAAAGAGACATAGTTCCAGCTGCTTTCAACCTGCAAGGCTCCGGTTGCTTGAGCGGAAATGCTGTTATTTGTGTCAACCTCTGCAGTTACCAATCCCTGCGTCCAGGGCCAGGCAGGGCAGGCAGTGAGGCTCTCCGGAGGGTGGTCACACGTTCCAAAAGTAGGAACAGGAACAACATTATAGTGGTGAGAAATTCAGCGTGAATAAAGCACCAGCCTCCGTTCTTAGGCTAATATATTTGCTTTTTCATCAACTGGACACCTGATTAGATTCCCTAGAGTAATCTACACACCCAGCCTCCCTCACATATGAGTCTCCCTCCTGCTTAGGAGGTTGGCCTTGACAAGAGAAGATCGTTAATTTTAAGTACATTTTCCTGCTTACAGCCTGATGTTGTGAGATGCTAGAGTGTCTCATTCAGGGTGCTGAGCATCCTTGATTCATGCTTATTTTAAGCCAAGTTAGTAGCACTTAACACCCTTTAAGAGGAGGGAAACCTTTATTGGGTCGTTGTACTCCAAAGCTGCCCCCTCTTTTTCAGTGGGCTTCTTCCACAGGTGTATTTCAGCTGTTTCTGCTGATTTGAGGGAGAAAAGCCAGTGCATGTGTGCTGCATCTTGATTCTATCCATTCCAGACACAGGAGAGGCCACTGGCATCTGTTCTGTCTTTATACAACACCAGCAAAATTACTTTGTGAATTCCAGAGATGCACAAGCTGGAGTAGGTGTTACTGGTAATAACCTTGCCGAAGAAAAGAGCCCAGCTGGGCTCCGGAGACTCCAGACCAAGTTTCCGAGCTGAACAGGAGAAAACTTCCCTCTGTTCTGGGGCCCTTTTAACCTCTCCTTGTTAACAGACCTGTAAAGGAAGGGCCAACAAAATCGTTGATGACAATACAAAACCAAAAAGCTGTATTTTAACACGGCAGGCCTACGGTTAAATATGCACACTTCTTCCAGGCCCACTTTCCGTGTGTCCTACACGCTGGACCCTGGGAGTCCGTATAAGCCACCCTGTTCGGGCTGTGAGACGTGCAAGCCTGGCCCAAGCAGCCGCTTCAGATGGAGAGCGGGGTGCTAATTTACTAATGAGCATAGACCGTGCAGGGAGGTATTGCCCCAGCTCTCCAGGGGCTTGCGCAGTTGTTATGGTGTGTGCGAGACACATGAGCTAATTAGTATGTAATTTCCTTTCACACTCTAACCCTGGCTCCTTAACGACCCGTTTAAATGAGAGACCTTTTCTCTTTACTGCTCCCTATGCTAATCTCTGGCTCGCTGGCTTAGTTACAGCCTGCCTATGAATATTTGAGGGAGTGATGGTTTTCCAGCCCGCTTTAATTGAGTGGGGGGCACTGGTTTACCAAACGGCAAATGAATTTTTCCGTACTCCTGTTTTGGGTTGCTGGCAGTTAAGCAGAGGCGAATGATTATGTGCATAGCTGAGAAGTCTTCCAGTTGTGGTCTTCCTACTGAGGCCGTAAAATGGGCAGCGAGATGACGGTTGTGGGCTTCTTGGAGCACGCTGGGGTGGGAAATGAGTGCGAATTGCTGGATGCGGCTGAGGTCAAGCTTTGTTCTTTATCCTGAATGTCTAGACTTCAAATTAGCCTCCTAGTTCGCTCCTCTCCCTCCTAGTCTCTGGCCTTTCTCATTCTGCCTCAGTCTGAGTTTTTGCCATAGAAAGCGAATCTTCTAGTGACTCTCTCCAGCTGTTTGTTGCTTTGCTGGAAAGCCGAGGTGGAGTAATCCTTTTTGCAGATGGCTCTCCTTATCTGGAGAGGTTGTGTTCTTCCTCTGAGTGGTGAGCGTCCCCCAAAACAAGTGAAAACCTATTGCTTGCCATCCTGCAAACTGCACTTGTCACAGCACTATAAAGTATCCTGTGGAGGTAAAAAAAGGGCTGTCTCTTGGTGGCAGGTCTTTCCATGTTAAATTCTTCCCTGCTAGAATACAGCTGATTTCAGTGGAATTTTGCCAGGGTTTAGGTTAGTCCCTTAGCAGTTCTTCGGCTGTATCTCATGTCTGGCAGCGTCTTTGCTAGCCTCAAAACCACACCTGTCGTAGGTGCTACCTTCAGATTCTGGGGTAGTGCCTGCCAATAACATCCATCTCCCTGCATTTTTCCTTCAGCCAGTTGAAGGGGAATGTCGACAAAGTGCATTGAGATGGTGAAACAATAAGCAAAATCAAACACTTGCTGATACGAGCAGTGTGTGGAAAAACAGAGCAAATAATACATTTTACGATGAAACCACCATGTAATGCTGAAAGGAACTGTGAAGTTGGCCTGCTGTCAGTGGAAAGCCTTACTGTGTTTTGCTGGTGTTGATAACTTCTCTCTTAGTGCTGAAAATTCATCCCTTTGTCGGATGGCCTCGTAATGAGTTCACTCATTATATAGACACCCTGAGCGGGACTAATGAATGGGACAGTCAATATTCTAAACTATCCCTTTCTTTTCATCACGCCAGGCTTGCCAAAAAATCCTGGTTCGGTAACTTCATCAACTTGGAGAAAGAAGAACAGATTTTTGTGGTCATTAAGGACAAACCACTAAGCTCCATTAAGGCTGACATCGTCCACGCTTTCCTCTCGGTAAGTCACCCCAGTTGCCTCCCGGAGACATTGCCCATGGGTCACTTCCCGGCTCCCTGTGCCATATGTTCCTGGGCAGGGTCTCTGCTCCTTCAGATGCACCCTCTGCAGATTTAATTTACGCAACCTGTTAATTCGGGCCTCTGCTGGACTCACTCTGAATTTCTGACTATAATCTCTAAGGTGAGAAAAGATTTCAGATGCTTTGGCAGGGTCTCCAGGTTGCTGGCACTTGTCAGAGCACTCCACTGGTGCAGAGTCACAACAGTGATCCGCTGCTTGGCCAAACTTAAATTTAGAGCCACCACCTGGGCATCAGATTGGGTCTCCCTTCGCTGAGTATGCCCTGCACCAGTCAGCCAGAAATCCCGTCTCACATTTGCGTTTGTTGCTTTAAATCTCTTCAATGCTGTGTGGCAGAAAGAAGGGTAATTTCCTCCTGTGACCAGGAGTGTTAGTTGTTGCAGATACGGTTTATTTACAGTCTAGGAAGGCAGAGGGAAAAGTAATTTTTTTCGGTAGGCAGTCCTTATTCTCACTACCTAGAAATACCAATGAAGAAAAGTCAGCACGTAAAGTTAATTTGAGAGATTTTTCAATTCAAGGTAGTTGACAACATAATTAGCCTTTTTTCAATAAAGAGGAGACTTAAGTTCTTATTTGTGGAATTGATATTGTTTTCCCAAAATACTGTACTTTTCTTTTGTCTTTATGATTCTGTAATGAATTTCTTCCAAAAACAGCTGCAATCCTTGTAACTGTACAGGCATACAAGGGGCAAGTGCAGAACAATAGCATACATCGGACTCTGATATCCATCTCAGATTGATTTGAAGCAGCCGCATTACTATATTAGTTTTATGGATTTATCTGTGCTTCAGGCTTTATATTGCACCATAGCGTGCACTAATGTCTGTATTGGGGATCCTGTGCACACCCCACGTGTGTAGGCTGAGGTGGGATGTACTGATTTGTGATTCAGAAGGTCTCTTGAATCTCAAAACGGGATCAGCTATGAGAGCAGACCAAGCTACACGGGTGGTTTTTTATGTGCAATCCTATGTCCCACTGACTTTTCTGCCCCCTCCCTTAATATCAGTTTTCACTCAGCAAGAGGAGTTTCTCCAGACTGCTAGATGAGTGGGAAAAGAAAGACTGAGTGCGTGAAGTTGTGCAATATGTGTAAGTGTCTGAGCGTGCTGGGTATTCCACCAATGTTCAACCTTTAAATTTAGGTCAGTCCGTAAGGAGCAGTGCATTCTTCTACAGTGCCAAGCAACCTGTACTTGCAGTGATTTCATGAGAACACTTTATGTTACAAATCCAACTCCAGAAGCAAATCCAGCCAATCTTGTTTGCTCTTCTAAATCGAATTTTGCAATTTTATTGCCTTTGTGCTCTGTCCTACTCTCTCCTTCTACCTCCCTGTTTCAGATTCCAAGCCTCAGTCACAGTGTCATCTCACAGACAAGTTTCCGTGCAGAATATAAGTCCACAGGAGGTCCCGCTGTCTTCCAGAAGCCAGTGAAGTTCCAGGTGGACATAACATACACAGAAGGGGGAGAGGCACAGAAGGAAAACGGGATCTATTCTGTCACTTTCACACTCTTATCAGGTAACCACGGCGAAGCTGTAAGAAGGATGCAAGCTGGCTTTGTCCTTGCTGATGCAGAGGCCTGCAAAGTGAGCTCTGCTGGGAGAAAGAATCTAGCTGCCTTAGCCTTGGGGGAAAATTCAGACAGGGACAAGGAGGACATCAGGAATAAAAATGGTGTTGGTGGTGATGGAAATGCTGGGAGGGAAAAAGAGGCGAAGTTGCCACCACCATGATTAGTGCTCAGATGGCTGCTCTGTGCGTCAGATTTGACGTATCTCCCTGTACCATCTCCTCGTTTCCCTCGAAGGTCTCAGGGTCTCAGCCGGGCACTGTGAGGCCACTGGTGACTTCCTTCAGACAGAAACCTCACCCTTTGCTTCTGGGTGGCCTCATGCCCCCCGTGGGGTTAAAACAAACAATCACAAAAGAAAAACAAAAACCACCACCACCTTTTCGGTCTTTAGAAAAGGAGCCCAGAAGCCATCCTTCCTCCTGTTAAGTCCAGCATGCTGCAGTCCCTGTTAGTGTGGGCACTGCAGGACAGTTCTTCAAAGCCGTGCCTCCGGCTGAAGGACAGCAGCGCTGTCGGTACATTCCTGGGGACAAGACGGAAGGGAAGGTGCTTGTGATCCTTCCCCTCCAGCCTGGGGTGCGTGAGGATTCACCTCCCGCTCCTCTTACAGCCGTTCGTGCCTCTTCTCTCCTCACAGGTCCAAGCCGTCGTTTTAAGAGGGTAGTAGAAACCATTCAGGCACAGTTGTTAAGCACACATGACCAGCCTTCAGTGCAGCAGTTATCAGGTAAGTAGTTTCTACTGTTGAGCACCTTGCTTCAGCAGGGACAGGAAGGTGAAGTGCCTCTCGGTACTGGGAGGCTGTGGGAGGCCGTCCCTCTGATTACAGCAAGAAACGAGCTCCATTCAGACAGCGCAGTAACTCCCCGCACGCACCCTGCTCCTCCCTCTCTCATTCCCACTCCAGTGCTCCCGGCGCATTCCCCAGTTAACAGCTTCTGCCCTCCTCCCGCCCCAAGAGCCATTTGCCCACTTCTCCATCAAAAGCTGCATCATCAATAGATCTTCCAGATTTTCTCCAGCTCCAAAATCTCCCAGAACAGGGACGTGCTCTAGAAGGTACCTGATTTTCAAACCCTTCAGGCATCCTTTAGAAACCTCCGACTTCAGAGGGTCCCAGAGCAAAGCTGAGAGCTACTTTCACTTAGCAGCATTTTCACGTGGTCGGAGGGCGGCTAATCGTTTTCAGTAGTGTGATCAGATTCTTGGCCCAGTACTGTGGTAGCTCAAGTCATATACTAAGAAGCAGAAGCTATATTTTATCTGGTTTTAAAGGAAATTTCAATTCCTCATGGTGGTAAAGAAAGCCTTACGGGTGCAACCCTGTGCAATGGCTCTGCAGGCAGCCTGAACTGATAATACAGAAACTGGCCTCGTCCCACGGTTCTGTAACACATGTTCACTCTGAACACTAGTGGTGACACCACACACAGAAATATCAGTGTTAGCTTCTGTCCTTTGAAAGGACAGAACAAAGAAGAAGGTGAAACTGGAAAACTTAACGACACTTAGCTATTGGGAGTGCTTCAAGGAAGGAAAAAAGGGGAGAGGCAGAAAGAACATGCAGATACAGGGAAGAAGTAGGAGCAAGGTGGAGAGCACGGGCTGCAGGAAGAAGAAGAAGAGGCAGGAGGAGTGGGAAGAATTTCCCCATTCTATGATGATAAAAGGTAGTAACTAAGTATTAAACGTAAGAGCCAAACCCAGTGCTTGACCTCTGTGTGAACAAGCCAGGACAGAAGCGGGGGAATGAAGTTGGCTTTGCATTGCGCAGTTAAATCCCGGGTGTCCTTGGCTCGTTGCACACAGGGGTTACGTCTTTCTGGTCTAACAGTGTCGTTTGAACAGCTGAAGATAAAATAGCTCCACTACATGACAGAGGTATGTTCAGAGCAGGAAATACTATTTTCTACTTTGCTTTTGCCCTCCAGCACTGCCTGACCCAGCCCATGGGTTATTCTGTTAGGAAACAGGAAAGGTGAGGATATGACAACTATGGTTGATTCAGACTTTTGCTGTCCAGACTTTTGAAATTAAGTCAAACTCAAGGGAGCAGACAGAATTTTCTGCCAGCCCTTCCTCTTGGGAAATGCTGGGGCCAAGTGGGAGTGAGATAGGAAAGTAGTAGATAGGAAAGTATCCTTGAAGTCTAGTTCATGTTACCCTTGCTGCATGAACAATGTTCAAGCATTCCTTGTTTCTTAGGGAAGGAAGTGTTCCCTTACTTTCTGGTGAGGAAAATACTTGTAAAAAAATAAATAACATGGTGGCCACTCTTAACTTCTTCACCATAGTATGTGCTAGCTATTGAGGCTCTCTAGAAAGATTTGGACCGTGTTGCAGAGTTGTGTGTGAAGCAAAATAACTCCCAAAAAAAGTCACATTAGAAAGCCACAGCATCCGTCTGCCTAAGGCTCAGGGAGATGCTTAGGGCACAGTGTGCTGTGAGAAACTTAGTTTTCCTCTGGTTCTGGAATGAAGAAATCATATTATAGACACAGAATCTCTTTCTGCTGCCTAGAGCTACATGAGAGTAAGTCGTTTTAGCAAGGAAAACCCCACCTGATCTTTAATGCCAGAGCGGAGTGGATAACTCCACATGGAGCAGAACCAAAATGAATGGTCTCTTGAAACTTAAAAATGAGAATTCTCTCAGCCAGGTGGCTGTCCAGGCAAGACAGCTCACAAGAGGCAGGGTGCCAGACTCTCCTGTAGCATATCACCTCACCTGATCAGGTATATGCAGCTCTCGTGAAAAAGAGAGAAGTAATTCAACCTGAAAAATTTAGATTGGAGCAGAGTACAAGGAAAAGAGAAAAGGAAAGGGAACAAAAAGGTCTGTTACCAAGAAGAGACAGCCTGCACATCAAAGTAGGGAGGCCCTGTGGTTCACATCCCCAGACAATGAGAGAATAAGAGGAAATCAAGGGATAAAGGAACAGCAAGAGCTCAGTTTGGCACCTTGCTCAGCTGGGTGCTGTGGCTGGGAAGATGTGTGCAAGAGCTTCCTAGAAACTGCCATGGAGTTTCTCGCTAGAAACAAGGCAAAGTCTTCTCTGCTTCTCTTCTTCTCCCATATTTCCAGCCCGGAACACTTGACAGGAATTGTGGTGGCTGGACTCTGATTCAGGGCCATGGTTTGAGGATAGTCTGTAGGCAGGCTGCTGCTGCAACAGCACGGGTTCACCCTTCACTTTGTCTCTCCTCCTGCCTGGCTCTGGGGGTGCCACTAGCTCTGACCAGCAGCCCTGGCCCGGCACTGGAGGTTTCCCTAACTCATCGCGCACAGACTGTGCGATTGCCTCCCCTGCCTTGTAGTTCAGATGCCATTACAGGTGGGGTGAGGAAAACCATGTGGGAAAGGCGCATGTGCGTAAAGCGAGACGTGCAGAAGGGGAGGACTCGGTGAGTGCAGGACAGAGCAGAACAGCACGGCCCGACAAGCGTATGGCGCTGACAGTCGTTCTCTCTCCTGCCCCTCTTTGAGCTGTTATGCAGCAATGCCAGCCCAACTAAGCCGGCTTGCCTGGGTTTCAGAACACACTCTTCTCTTTCTCATTTCCTCCAGCTCACAACAGTGTTTGTAGATGTCGTGTTGCCCATGCATCTGTGTGTGTGTGTATGTGAGCCTGACACGTACCTGATTTAGGCAGACGTGTTTGTGTCACACTTGAACACCTTATAATCTCCCTTCCCCCTGGATACTCCTCTATTCACTTCCATTTCTTCTGGCATACTCTGAAGCAGGAAGATAGCTTCCCTCCCTTACCTGAATAAGTGTGTAAATAAATGAAATCTATCCCAAAAGCTAATGCAATACTTCTCAAATCCCCTGTCCAGTTGGCTAAATTTATTGCCTTCTACCTTAATGCCTCAAGACATTAAATCCTCTGTGGTATAACTGCCGAGACAATACCAGGTCTACAGACACAGGACTGGCATAAAACAAACAGATAGGGATTGATTGCTCCTTTTTTCTTCCCAATGAAAGAACTAGAGGCCATCACATGAGAGTAGTGGAAGCCACGGACCAACAAGTATTTGAAGGTGTGTCTTCATGTAACATAAGACCTCGCTGAAGCAGGTTCTGAATGCAAGGAGCTCGCAGGTGCTCGTCTTCCCCTGAGTACCTCTCACTTGCAGGGAGGCTGGACAACTCCCTGGAAGAGAAATCTTCATGAGGATTGTGAAACAGAGAAACCGCAGCAGGCTCAGACCCGATCTCTGACCTGGAAGGGGTGAGGGAGTGTTAGGAGGAAGAGTTCTGCGTGCTTGGCCTGCTGTTACACCCCAGCATGGCTGCGTGTGGCTGCTGGTGCAGACAGGGCACTGGGTGGTTTGGGGCTTTGATCTGGACCGGAATAGCTACCTGTGTGTTCTTGTTGCTGCTCTCAGAAAATCCATTAAGCCCCGTGAGGCCATGAAAGAACAGTCCCTTTTGGATCAAGAGTGCGTATCGCTGGCTGTGAGAGCAGCTGGGCTTGTTGCTGATCCCTGTGTGGCTCCATCCAGGAGCCTTATACTCAGAATCTCTGCTTAGGTAATCCCTGGGCAGGACTGCCCTTTGGTGGGATAAAAGGATCTCTCTCCATGGAGGGAAAGATCTCAGATTTGTGCCTTTGTTTCAGCCCAATACTCTTCCCATTAAATCATAATCTGTTTTCCTCCAGTGCCTTTGCACAAAAGAGTAATAGAAACAGCTGGTGAATAGGGACGTGCAAAAGCCATCTGTGATTCATGGGGTATCAATTTTTGTTTTACTAAAATTTTCTTGCCTCTTTGGGCTTTGGTTTTAAGTGTGGGGTGCTACACATTCCTAATTTTTTCCCATTTCTCCATGTTCTGGGCAATCAGCAATATTGAAATAGCCTTGTAACTCCTTCATAATAGGTTTTCTGTTTCTTTATTATATTTATTGGCTTCACGTCAGATTTTAACCGTCGGCATCTCGAAATTCAGAGCACTTCATTGTTACCGCTGGAAATGCCTTTCATCAGCATAACCAAGCGTTTAGAGACCGTATCCAGCTTCAGAACAGGGCAGGGCAAATTCTTGCTCGTTGGCTGCATCTTCTGCATCTCTTGCTGTGCTGGTGTACAGCTCAGAACACGTTCATGTGACTCAAAAATTTATTTTGCTGGAGTATTGATCTGAGTTCTGGGTGTTCACCTTTACGGCTCACAAGAGCTGTAGGATGGCTAATTTGGTATGAAAAAAAAAAAATCGGTGAGAAACTTGGGGTTTCCAAGGAATTTATCGTCACGACAGAAAAGGGAGTAAGGAGCAAATGAAGTGCTTTGAAAGGTGAACTACCTAAACCAGGGCTGTGGAGTTTGCAAGTTGCTTTTATCCGGGGCTCATCCAAGTCCTGGGTTTATCTTGTTCCCTGCATTCTTGTGCAATCTTTTATGTCTTACTGCTCTTGTAGTGTCTGGAGCAATCGCTTCATCTCGCTGTCGTGGTTCCCACCTACAAAAGTTGAACGTGATGCCTGCTTGGACTGGCAGAGCACTGTTGGGTTTTTTTCTAAGCAGCTTTAGTGTTATTACTGAGCAGACTTCTTTCAAATTAACTCAGTAGCCCTGAAGTAAGGCATGTAGCAAAAGAAGTCCAAGCTCTCCAGAGTTTGGGTAGAAGAACAGTGAATTTCAAGTAAGCACCCAAACACCGGGGAATTCCAATCTAAATGGCAACTGCCTTGGACTGGAGGAACTGGTGGCTCCCTTGACATCATCTCCCTTATTGGAAATGTTTTTTGGGGACTAGGAGCATCTGGCAGGAGATGCTCAGTGCTTTGTGGGATCTAGCCCTGAGTTTGGAGATCTCAGAGGAGCAGCTGTTTGGGTGAGATTTCCTGGGCTGGGACAAGCCTCAGTCTCCGAAGTATCAGAAGCATCACAAAGCAGGCAGCTTGGCGGTGAAATTTATGTAGGGTGGAAAAGAAGAAATTAAAGA